ACTGATTTGTACTGTAAGATGGCTTTGGTAAACATTGGATCTATTTAGTCTCCATTTCTATGTAAGGTGAATCTAATAAGTGAAATTTTGTTTGTCAAAACAGTGTAACCATAGTCCCTTTCGGCCGTGCAATCTCCCTTCGACAATCGCCGTTCGCCGTTCTCCCCGACAACGTTTTTTGAAATAGCTGTATATATTGATAGAGGGTATCATACAATCCTACTTTTTTGAAGAGAGTGCAATGTGATAGATACCGTTGAACAATTATTCAGTGGTTTCTATCATTGTTAGCTCAATAGTCATCTCAGTTTGTTGCAAAGGCACAGTTACCTTTCAAGAGGATGTAAAGCAACAATGGGCTTGATAGTATTTGATACACTGATTATAATTTTACAAAAAGGAGATGGCTGGTCCATTGTAGTGTACAGAGGTCAGTTGGGAACCTCTGTCTATAAAAGATAGTATAAAAACATGTTGCTGAGATAAGACATTTGCAGGAATTTCTAACCATTACTATTGTACAACAGAAGTTGATAGTCTACACCTTTTCTTGTTTTCAGGTTCAGAGAAATTTTTATATTAAGAATTCTAAAGTATTACTTTGTGTAAGAAAAGCAAGAAATAGCTCACATTTTGGAATGTAATTTTTTTGGCGAGAAATTTTATTTTATTTTATCCCTCACCTTTGGATTCTTTTTCAATCTTCCAAATTGTCGAAACAGTATATGTTTAAGGGTGCTTTTAGAGCTTCAATGAACGAAGACTCTGTAGAAGCACGTTCTTGTTCAAAGTGGATAGAACAACGAAGCGCCATTTTGGTGCCGGTGCAAAGTTTGAGCAATGGTTTCCTAAAAACCCGACCCATTGCCGCCGTAGTTTTCCATTGATTGGGGATTTATGAATAGAAATTACTAGCGCGGAGACGTTGCTTTAGACCAGGGCGCTTAGGGGTAGGGCGGGGAAACGGCCTGGGCCGAGTCAAAAATGTGTGATGCGGGAGACTGGGAACTAGTTTGAAGCGTGGTCCAATATGGCGGCGGCGGCGGCGGAAGCTTTAAACGTCCTTGAAGAAGATTTAGAGGACTTTCTGCAAGGAATTTTTGAAAAAGATACTGATGAAGAAGATAAAGAAGAATCAGAGACAACAGAAGAAGATGTAGAAGGTGATAAAGAACTATGCTTGACCTAACTACTGGTAGCTAAAATGATCATAAAAAAAGATATTTGATATCTAAGTTATAGTTGGACTGTCCAGGTAACATCAATGTTATGACTTTAGCCTCTTCTTTTTGGAAGTAGCTCTGAAGCTTGTGCAAGATGATAACACTCTTCCACTTCATAAACATTGCTCTGCTTATTCCTAAGAAGTCTTGACTGTCTGTATGAAATCAATATGTAAATGCTGTCATCTTGGTTGATCCTCCACACATTTGTGAAACTCACAGTTTTGAAACTCAACAGATTGTATATACATCAGAAGTTCTTTTAGCCCATCTATGGAAACCTTTAAAATATAATACAAGATAATATTTATAGTCATTATTAATCAAGTGTGACCTTCAAGGTTTTTCGTCTGGCTGTCATTCAAGAAACTGACATTAAAAATACATTACAAAGTCTTTCTTGAAGGGAGATCTTATGAGGAGTTTACGGTATATTTCATATGTCATATTCTTTTGCTTCTCGAGTGCTCTCCATCTCCTACCGTGTTTATATCAGAGAACAGAGAGACAAGCGGCCGTTTTATATTTCTTTTATAAAACTGTTTGCCTTTTTAAAGCGTGCGAGCATCAAACCATGTCTCTGTTCTCTTATATAACACGTTCATCAGCCAATGAGAGCGCACGTTGTATCTCAAAAATTTTATAAATTGATATAGCATTGATATAGCATTATAGCAATTTCATAAATTGATATAGTCAAACATTGTTTGCCATGTAATGAAATGAGAAGAAATTTCTGCCTTGGCTTTGTATAGCTGTTGAAGTTCTGCTTTCCAGTTTTTAAAATAAGTAAGAACTTCTGTTAAAGAAGTCATCTGGCGTCATTGTGGGACTCAAGTGGCTTGTTATCATTAAAGACATTCCAGAATTTTTCACAATTTTTTATGTAATCTTGTGTTGATGCAGTAACATTGTTTTCATAAGTTGCCATTTCTTGTCTCACTTTTGCAGAAAGTGTGTTAACTGCAAGTTTTACTCTCATTTTGCTTAAGTTGTTTAAGTGCACATGTGAATTCAAGTCAGTTGCAAACAACCTTCTGTTTTTGTCCCGTTGATATACAGAGTAAATGTGGTCCCAAAGTATGTCTTTTCCATTTTTTCTTAATCTCCGAGTAAAGCGAGCATTCCTATCTTTAAAACCACTATTAAAAATGTTGTTCCTTAACTTTTTCATGAGATGANGACTAGTCTAATGAAATTAGGGATGTCGTGCGGCAAGATGTCAAATTCGATCAGACAAGCTACCAGTTTGAGCAATAATTACCATTTTAAAGTAAAAAGATTTTCTAATGTTGTACGAATAGCTATAAAGACACCACGAAAACAACAAACTTGGAGCGATTTGTATCAGTGTAATATCTATTTCACGAGATTTTCTCTGTCCGATGCCCAAAATGGTCTCTCTCGTTTGTCCCTTTAGTTTTGCTTAGCTTATTTCTTTGTTTCCTATTTTACATTTCCTTCTCAGAATTTTTATTTTCTCTTTCTTCCTTTTACTTTTTCACTATCACTCTCTTTGTTCAATTTTCAAATATTTTTTTTCAAAAAGAAGTACAATGTTTACATGCACTCGAATTGTTTATTTGCACGAAGTCGTCTAGAAATCAACATCGATTTGACGAATTGAGAACCCACCATTGTCAGCTGGAAATGACATTTTTAACATTGACCAACAATTCATCAAGTTCTCGACTACACATCAGTAATGAATATTAAAGACAGCGCACAGATAATTCAGTTATGGATAATGTCGATCACTAAAGTTATTATTTAAACATATGACAAAAACGGCCGCCAAACAAGTTCTAAGTATTTTCAAATATCGTTGATTCAATTTCACTGTTCAAAAAAACAACAAAACTATAGAGTATTTCATCTGCAAAGCGGAATTATCCTTAACTTTTATATCATTGCATCGAAGAGAACTTTTTCCCAATACGGTCCAATTTTTGAATTCAGTTATATTCTTGTGCTTCCTGTGTCGAATCATGAATGATTCCTAATCATTCTATTCAGAGAACATTTTCCCCGATTCAGTCGTCGTCAGTTAATTATCTTTAATTATTCTGTAACTTTTGTCACGAGACTTGTTCACATCCTTTACTTAACTCGATCAGTAAATTCACCAACAGTGTTCTCAGCCTGCTTTAAATACTGTCACATTTTGTGTCAAGAAACCTCTGTTTTTCTGGAAAGTACTTAGTCACGCCCCTCGTAACTTCATCATAAGGTACATAAGAGTGTCTTGGTGTTAGTATTTGTATTATTTTACAAAGATATACAGACAGCGAGAAGATATACTACACAAGGATGAACGAGTCAAACATATCACTCGCCAACGTCTCTAACATCAGTACGGTTAACACCTACTGCAAGCTCGAACCTGACACCGATGTTGAGAAAATTGCCAAACGCACTGCCTTAGTACTGGTCGTTGTACTGGGGATTTCATTCAACATCTTCGTTATCGTACTCGCAGCTAAATTCACAGTACGCAAGAACCTGCATCATTTGATCATCAACATGGCCGTCTCAGATGCTCTATATCTCTTCATGGATTTATTGTACCTTGTTCCATGGCTGTCTGACGATAAATGGAGCATATATCCCAGTGGTACACTAGGTGTTATATTCTGTAAAACTATAACATTTCTGTACAATATCTCATATAGGGTATCATTAGTTACTCTATTAGTAATCAGTATTCAACGATTCAGAGCAACAGCAAAAACCTTGAAAAGAACGAGACCATACACACTGAAGCAACGTATGGCAATTATTGCTGTCACTTGGTTGATGTCAATGACAGGCCCAATCCTTTACGCGTATATGACAAGTCTACATGGCCAATGGTGTCTTGTATGGAATAGCGATGTACTGAATAACAGAGTCATTTCCTTTGTTTTCCTATTTGAACGAGCTATTATGGTTATCCTCTGTTGTGTAATATTCATTCTCGCTATTCTAACAATAAGACGGTTGACAAAACCACAAGGCATCCAAAATCACCTTAGCGAAGAACAACGAAAAGTACGAGCACGTCGAATCCAGTCAGCCGTAACAATGGTTCTCGCCTCGGTATTGCTGTATGCTTGCTGCTGGTTTCCCYTSTTAGTTCTTGAATTTGTTGATTGGACCGACGCTGCCTTACCGTCAGCTGATATAGTGAATTACTCACTTTGTATTGACTGGCCATCATTGTACTTTATCATTAATCATTTCCTACCTGTGGTCAACTCCTGTTTCAGTCCTTGCATCTATCTTATATTTCTGTCTGATTTTCGTGACGCAGCCAAGAAGATACTCTGCAGAAAACAGACAATCAACCAGGCATTAAACAACCCCATCGAACTGCAACCGATGACTCCAGTGTGTAACAGAAGGAGAGGGAGAAGAAGGTCTGATGAAGATCAGGACATTTAAACTGACTTTGAAAAATGTCATCTACATACAAATGAAAAAGTGCAAAACGAAAGCGAACTTGAACCATGGCATTTACACTAACACATCTGTGTTTCTATACAGAAAAAACTCAAAACAATGAACTTCAATTATAGAGTTACTTAATACAAATCGAAAGTAAAGTGTTTTCTTTGAATAATATAGGTTGTAAACTCAAGCAAGAGTTATGGAAAATATGTACCAGGTTCATCAGTAAATTCTTGAGTTTGTCCAGTAATCTGACAAGAAATATTCTAAAATGTTCTAATATAAGATGTAGAACACTCTTACGATTCCTGATTCAACACTTTTTATTCTTCTCTAATAAGAAATAGAAGAGTTCAGTAGAAATAAGGTAACAAAACAGAAATAAGTCCGCTTCTAGCAAATGTTGATATTGTACATAAAACAATATATCAATATATCACTCTCTCTGTTCTGATTTCTACATAATGCTTGAAAAAAGAAGTACAACGTTAGCATGCACTCAAGTTGTTTATTTTCACGAATTTATCTAGAATCGATCAAAATGGATTTGACGAATTCTCTTTCGTCAATGTTTCCTCAAAAGCAGTTTCATTTCTTTCTATTTTTGATCCCTTAGCCGTGAAGTGAATGTTTAACACACACCTGTATCCATTGCTYATCATAAGACAMTAATTAGAGATGCGTTGGTGTTCCATAGAATGTGACTAGTCTAATGAAATTAGGGATGTCGTGCAAGATGTCAAATTAATCGATCAGACAAGCTACCGGTTTGAGCAATAATTACCATTTTAACAATTCTACTGCTGTACGGATAGTTATAAAGACACCACGAAAACAACCAACTTAGAGCAATTACTATCAATGTAATATCTATTTCACGAGATTTTCTCTGTCCGATGCCCAAAATGGTCTCTCTCGTTTGTCCCTTTAGTTTTTTTTAGTTTATTTCTTCGTTTCCTATTTTACATTTCCTTCTCAGAATTTTTTTTCTCTTTCTTCCTTTTTAGGTTTTCAATGTCACCGTCTTTGTTCAACTTTCAAATATTTTTTCCAAAAAGAAGTACAATGTTAACATGCACTCGAGTTGTTTATTTGCACGAATTCGTCTAGAAATCAACATCAATTTGACGAATTGAGAACCCACCATTGTCAGCATGAAATGACATTTTTAACATTGACGAACAATTCATCAAGTTCTCGACTACAAATAAGTAATGAATATTAAAGACAGCGCACAGATAATTCAATTATGGATAATGTCGATCACTAAAGTTATTATTTAAACATATCACAAAAACGGCCGCTTAACAAGTTCTAAGTTTTTTCAAATATATTTGATTCAATATAATTTGACTGTTCAAAAAGAACAACAAAACTAAAGAGTATTTCATCTGCAAAGCTGAATTATTCTTAACTTTTATATCATTGCATCGAAGAGAACTTTTTTCCAATACGGTCGACATCTTGAATTCATGTTAAACTAGACGCTCTGGGAGCGTGAAGTCGGACTA